AATAAAGTATGTTGAACAGGAGCTAATGTTTGAAAGTGATTCAGGTGAAGCAGTTTCATCAGACATTGAAAGTGAGGTTGAAGAAGACACCAGAAGTGGGTGACATCATTAATGAATATGTAGGCCAACATACAATTTGGTAAAGCTACTTCAAATATTTAGATGCACTTGACAGTGATATAAATGCAAACAGCTTTCTAATCTGAATGTTATGTATATGTTCGTAGTTAAATAGTACAAATGGGATATCAGGGACACATCAGAAGGTCTGCCCTTGAACACTTTAAAGACAGGATGGATTCGTTAATAACTATTCAGTTAATGGGAATCACTTAACATTATATGACTTTGGTCCAAAATTTGTTGAAAATCAGTTCAAAGGAACCATATATTCAATCCACCACCTCCAGGTTGTAGGATCACTCTAACAGTGTTGTGTATGTTCAACCAAGAAACCACAAACATACACCAAATTTTGATGCTCAAAATGCAATATTTGCTTGTGTATAGACACATATTTTTTTAATTTACCATACAAAGGTAAGCTCTCAATCCAGAGTTCCATCACAACATTGAAAGGAAACCCATTTCCAGAAATATAAACATAAAGTGAAGTTGTTCCTGTGTTTTAAACTAATTAAGCACTATGCCATGAAGGAGGGGGCAGGCAGTAGCATAGTTGGTTGAGGGTCTATGCTACAAGCTGGAAGGTCATGAGTTCAAGGCCCAATGAGGTCATTGGATTTTTTCAATTGACTTAATCCTTCCAGCCGCACTATGGCCCTGGAGTTGACTCAGCCTCTAACAGAAATGAGTACCAGGAATTAATTAAATAATTTTCCTGGGGAGTAAAGCGCGGCCGGCGTGTAAGGCTGACAACTTTCCTGCCATCTGTGAACTGATCGTCTAGATAATAATGCCATGAAGGAGTGTGGGAGAGCAGATGTATGGATCCTTGTTTTCTTGACCTTGGCACTAGTTGGAGGTGAGTGGTCAGCTTCATGCCCCTCCCGCTTTACCCCTGGGGTGAAGGGACCCCAGTACCAGTTGGATAGGCGGCTGGATACACCCCAGAACTGGTCTGGATGATGTGGAGAAGAGAAAATTTTTGGCCCTCCTGGGACTCAAACTCCAACCCCTCCATCATCCAGCGCATTCCCAGTTGCTAATATACAGTGCTATCCCATCTCCCTTTTGAGAAATATAAATGCTATAAATTTATATATACATCATAATTGTTTATTTTAGGAGTCTATAGTTATTCCATGACTGCTTCTTTCCAAATGCTTTACAATTCATTATTCACTTATCATATAGTTTGGTGCTATATAGTCTAAGCTGCTTACAGCCCTCTTAGATAGACCACAAAGAAAAGCATTTAGGAATCTGTTGTGGAAGCAATTATTTTTATGCTGGTGAGAAATAATTTCGAATTTGTCAGTTTATTTTATTATTATTTATTATTATTTAGTAGAATATTTCACAGGAATAGTTCCAGATATACATTGTTTTTATATTAATACCATTATTGGTTACATGTCCTGAGTTAAGATCCAACTGCCAGCCCTGTAGTATGGGAAATTTAAATACCCTACTTCTAGGCACTAAGTAAGCTTCCCCCACACTCTTTTTCTATTATTTCACTCGTGTGGTTTCAGCAAATTAAGCTATATTTCTAGAAAGTTAAGGAAGGGAACAGTTATATAGATTGCGTGATGATGAATTGCAGCCAACAGTTGATGAATTTGTGCTTGTTCTCCATAAATTATTATGGTCTACATTATTACCTTTTGTTTCTGTGTGTGAGTTTGTTTTAATTTATTAATTAAGTTAAGTTGTTTCGTAAGATCTGTCATCCCATTCTTACATTTCCATGTGTCATTTTTTCCTCTGTTACTCTAAACTTTACTTATATACAGAAATTTTAATGAACCCAAAGTGAGAGACTCACTTCAAGGTATTTTATTTTACTGTCTGCTTCCAAAGGACATGAAGATTTATGTAACTGACAGAAAAATTGGCTCAGGCAGAAGTGCTTATGACTGTTTGAGGGGCACCTGCTTTGGATCTTGGTTGGGACACCAGTTGTCCTGACTGAGATTTTTATGAGTTTCCACAGTCCCTCAAAGCAAGTGCCTCAAATTAGGCCATGACCCCTTCTTTCCACATAATTTCAGTTTCATTAGTCATTATTGTTCTACCATTCATCACTGTGTAGTCTGAGTTAACAGGAGCATCGTTAAATAAGCCATTAATAAAATATATACACCTATAAATAGATGGAAGGATAATAGTAAAATTTATCTTAGATAAATTGGTTGTGAAAATATGAACTATGAACTATTTTGAAATAGGTTCAGATATGAGGAGTTTTCCAATCCTAAGGATGAACCCTTAGGTTCCATGACAGCAGTTTCTTCCTCACTTGAATAAGGCTGACTAGTAAAAGGAAGCTTTTTGCCACATGTAAGAAGTTGGTAGTAGTTAACAACTGGGAACAGAAAATAGCAGTAATGGTATTTGGAGATATGTTTTAGTTGGTATTGTGGTTTCCACTTTTGGGTATTGTTATTCTGTCACGTTTTTGTGTTAATGTACCTTTCTAAAACTTTTTCATGTTCCTGAGGTTAGGTATTATGGCAAAGTTCATTTCTATATTCAGTATGTTGTGCATGCACAGAAATTGTTTTCACAATAGATTTTATTATCCAGATTCAATAATGATGTAAAGTGAACAATTTTGGCATTCAAATTCCAACAGACTTTATGCTAGCCATATAATATTACTAGGGTAATAAAATTGTGAAGGGTATGGTGGGTGTGGGATCGCATAAACCCAAGGGGTGTTGGCATGTGTTCCCATTTTAGACTTGCTTTTAAGAGCTTACTGGTTTGAAACCCTGTACGTCTCTGTTGTCAGGTTTAAATTATGTGTGTAATATGACATACGTGTATTTCTCTGCATGTTAATCATTTACAACCCAAGGACTTGCTAAGAAATACAGTTTCATTGTGCTTGAGTTGGTTCTGGTAGAATTAAATGTCTTTAAGTGGCAGGTTAAGGTTCCTTATTTGTTAAATATATTTTACTCCAAGTATTACATGATATACTGTACTAATAACACTTTTGCAATTGGTAGGAAAGATCAGCAATCAGTTCTGTGTTATTTGTTATTCATTCAGTTGCGGGAATATAAGAGTAAATTAGTGAATTGAAATGATTTATTGACACAGGAGAAAAGAAGCAGTGTTTTGTAGCTTGTTACTTATCAATGTCTCCAGGCTTTTCAATGCGTCAAATTTAGCACATCACAAGCTTCTTGATGCTATTTGCAAAAAAAAATTCTTGGCTGCTTCAGCAGCCATGCCTGCATCACTTTCTTCACTTCATTGTTGCATTAGAATCTTTGACCTCATAAGGCTTCCTTTAGTGATCTTAATAAGTTAGAATCACACTGTGAGATCTGGATATGACAGTAAGTGATTTAATTTATTGTCACTTGTTGCTGTTATGAAGCATAAAACCGTTTTTAAGAATCTTACCTGTATTTTTTCTTGTAATGGTTTTTTTTTAATATGATGCATAGCAGTTAACAGTCTCATTACCATTCGTATGGAAACTCACTGTGCCCATCAGAGTCAACATTAACTTAATTGCAGAAGCTTGAATCTTAGACTTTTTGTGAACTTGAGTGCTTGAGTATTTCTAGTGAAAGCTGTGCACTTCTTTTCAAGTTCATATTGTAGCACACACACATCATCTCCAATGGTTATATTCATGGTGTTGCACAGCACTTCATCTGCAGTGGTTCTGTGGTTGGGTGTATTTAGTGAAGGTTCTGGCATTTCCTTTTACATTCATGGTGTTGCATACACACTTCATCTCCAGTTGTTATGTGGTCAGGTATATCCAGTGGTTTTTGTGGCATTTTCTTTTGTGTTCGTAGTGTTACACATTTAATGTCTAGTGGTTGCATAGTTTAGAGAAACATAATATTGTGCCAGATATCACAGTGATGGCTGTGTTATTTATGGTCTTCCATCAATAAATTTGGCTGGTATATTATCATAATTTTAAAATAGGTTAGACACTTGGAAGTTAGCAAACACATAGCGGCCTCCGTAGTCTAGAGGTAACGTTCCCACCTCATGACTCGTAGTACGCGGGTTCAAATACCCGGCGGAGGTCGTCGAATTTTTAAGGGCGGAAAAATTCAGGGAACAAGTCCTCCGGGAGGGACTTTTAAAGCCGTGGGTCCCGTGTCGTAGCTTTACGGCACGTAAAAGAACCTCATATCTCCAAAGGAGGTCACTGAGCCAAATTACGGACGTTTCCCGCCCAACAGCAGTCTCTAATACCTCTGGTAGATGGGGGAAGCATTACAGATACCTCTCAGCTAGTAGAGTCGGTCTCGGTGGCTGGGTGGGACTGATGGCAAGCACCAGTACCGGTAGGATATAGAGACTGGTAGAAATCATAGAGGGAAGCACAATGGACCAATACAGGTCTAGGTGCATGGGGAAACCCACCCTCTCCAAATAACTAACTAACTAACTAGCAAACACATATCTGTAACTAACATTTATTTCAGCTGTACTATATGACTAACTGTCTACTTTAAAAAATCATTGTGTCCACCTTCATGATTGTATCATGTTTTTTGCATCATGGGGATTTCATCAACAGTCGTAATCAATTTTAAATTTTTCAGCTCTCTGCTATGCTGTAAAGCCATCAGAACACTGAGATAACATTCAATGTTGAATTTAAGCTACACGTATTTTTTGCTCTTTCGGTGTGCAGGGATCTCATAGTAATTGTTCCATTTGATGCACACAGCTCCCTCCCACCATAAAGTTTAATTCTTTCCTTCATTCATTATTTTCCTCCTAATTTTTCTCTTTTTAAGGACGAAAGCTAATGTTCCCATTTGTATACCTGTAGATACACCCATTACAGAATTACATGATGCAGCATGATCATTTGTTGTTTGTTGCAGAGAATCGCAGAGGTCAAGCTTGAGGCCGTACATACCACAGCAGCAACGTTCTGCAACTCTTCCAGCAAATGCGTCTGTCATGGGGAAGTGAGATGCATATGTAAACAGATACTGTGACCTGAACATTATCACGCAGTTAGTTTCATGCTAAACCCAGGCACGCGTATAGGAGCAACTGGTGTTAATGTAGTTTATCAGACACTGTGAGTATATTGGATAGTAGGTTTCGGTGAATTTCTTTGGGACTGGTGCAGTGCACCAATAAGAAAGTACATAGAACAGCTTGTAATTAACTGACAGATGGTATATACCATACCACAACTCACAGGATGTTAGATTCAAATGCAAAATCATTTTTGTAGGAGGTCACATGTGATGGTACAAATGCTCTAATTTAAATGAATTCATAAAATTATGTGAGATTGCGTGATAGGGGTGATTATAATGCTATCACGACTGAAATGAAACCAAAGTGTTTGCTGTTTTTTCAGTAATAGTAATAACCCTGTCTCAGCCTCGCTCGCCCCTAGGTGTTTCACATTCCTACACTGTCATAACCAAGTTGCTGCATAATTTAAAGTGAATACAAATGAACCAGTACTCTTGCTCACTTAACTATGCCTCATGTGACGACTTTCGTGCCAATTAACATAGTTAAGGAACTTGAATCTCAGAATTTTTAGCTTGAGGAAACTATGAACTGGTGCCCAATGGCACTTGTGAATGATTGTAATAATTCTTAATGAATGAGAGTGAGAGAAGTTTTTGAGTGCTGTTTTATTCCGTGGCCATGTTAGTGGTCAGTCAACCATGTACATTGTGCCTTTAACGTAACCAGGGAAATGAGTGAGAAGGGGCATATGTCCACACATAATTCTCACAAGATTTTTTTATCATGTTTGAGATGATTTTCTTCTGCCAGTGATATTTATGATGCTACTGCACTGAAGTCATACCATTTTATTTACAAGTGTGTAATATTCATAATATAATAATATTGAAAATATATTATTTTGTAGATATTGTGCTGGTTATGTGTATGGGAAAGAATAATGTGTACATGCCAATAAAAGAGATAAACTAAACCTTATGATGTCCTCACATTCTTTCCCATGCACATGCCTCAATCAGAAATTGTTCCCACTAATTTTCCACTACATTCCTTTTCAGATTGTGTTGTATATATCACATGCAGGTAACTGGAAAAAATATTCAAGTAGTAGTAGAATTAATTAAGTTCAGACCTGGAAATTTATCTTGCCCTAAAATCAACATTTAGAACATAATTGGGCAGGCAGTTTCAGTGAGGGGCCAGATGAAAAATTATGTAAGTTTTTGCTGGGCCAAAAAAGTCATATTTTGCCATTGTGGAAATGAGTATTTTTAAGTATCTCCAAAAGTAACAAAAATGAATTACTGCATTAATTATACAATTCATTTGCAGCATTTCCAAACTGGATGTGACAGATGCTGCTTCTTGCATAGCTTGTGACTTTGCCAGTGCAGTAGAATGTTGATTATCCAAATTACCAATTAACCAAATCACCACAACCAAAGTATGTGTCTGCTAAACAAACATCGTTGTTGGACTTTACAAATAAAGTGTTTGAAGAATGCTAATTTATGGTTACATTCGTTAATTTTTCATGTTTCACTTTTTTTTTTGTTATTTTAATAGTACAGTACATTATAACAGTGTTTTTTCGTGGATAAGAATTTAATCTAATTATCCAAATTTTATATTATCTAAACCACTTTTGTTGCTAATTAATTCAGATAATCTTTGTTCTACTGTATTTGGTATAAATATTGTGGTGTATTGGCTCTATGCAGGAACTGTTGAGCCACAGAGGCATCGGGGCACATGCACAACCTGAGAGTTTAGGATTGTATCGGCGTGTTGCTAGGTGACAACTCTGTGAACGGGTGGATTGCGCAACAGGAAGTGCGAATGACGTCACTTATCCCCCCTCATCCAGTCACTACGCAAAGCTTGGTAAACACCCCTCCCCGCTAGGCTGTGACATCACACAACAGTAGGGCATATTATGCCGTGGTGGCAGGGGGACGTGGAGGTATCCCTTCTTGCCACCACAGCTTACGCTGCAAGGGGTTAACACAATAATCCTAGCTTACCCTCAGCTAGGATTCTCCTAGTTCATGACTTCCTTCGTCACATAAAGCTGCCATCATCTATATTATATCTTAAGAGAGGTGATGAAAGTACTAAGGGCTGGTAGCGCGGTGGTCGATCGTTCTCTGTTGGCTGGCCCTTTCCTCCTTGTCACCTCTTATTATTGGCGTAGAGTGGGTGTGTCAGGTCAGACCCGCCTCTACCCATCGACTGTCCCACCATATATTACACTTCTACGACAGGGGTGGCTTTGATATCTCACCACTGTCCTCAATTATGTCTTAGTGATGGGGGTGGGTGGAGGTAGCCTGCCACTGTTACCACTTATTACGTCTTACGGGGGCGTTGATATAAAGGCNAGTTCAGGACTTCCTTCGTCACATAAAGCTGCCATCATCTATATTATATCTTAAGAGAGGTGATGAAAGTACTAAGGGCTGGTAGCGCGGTGGTCGATCGTTCTCTGTTGGCTGGCCCTTTCCTCCTTGTCACCTCTTATTATTGGCGTAGAGTGGGCGTGTCAGGTCAGACCCGCCTCTACCCATCGACTGTCCCACCATATATTACACTTCTACGACAGGGGTGGCTTTGATATCTCACCACTGTCCTCAATTATGTCTTAGTGATGGGGGTGGGTGGAGGTAGCCTGCCACTGTTACCACTTATTACGTCTTACGGGGGCGTTGATATAAAGGCTACTAAGTGCTGCCTGCGTGGCAGGTGCCTATCCCTGACCATTCCTAGTACCTCCCCTTAACTGTAGTTGCTGCTGCCTTTCGTTCTGGTAGGATCCTCGGGCTCGGTCGTGGGAACGTTAATTATGGAGGGGTGAATCACAATCCCAGTACATCCTACTCTATGTACACTGGTCTATTTACACTCTTATTTACAATCCTATTTACAGTATTAACAAGGCCGACTTTCAGTCGGGACTACATAGTGTCTTTACGTTACTA